CCATGACACAAAAAAACAGTTAAGAATCCCTGCTCTATAATCCAACACTCTCATTTTACAGGTGAAGAAAGTGAGGCCCTGAGGAGGGACATGATTTTCACAAGGTCACAAAGCTAGTTAATGGTAGAGCTGGGACTAATCCCCAAGTCTCCTGATTCCTACACCTGGGACAGGGGGAATTGGGGGAGGTTCCTTCAATGCCACATCAGAGCACCTCTATACTTAACTAAAGTAAAAGTCTCAGATTGTCTCCAGTAAGAAGTCTAGGCGACCCTCTTGATTCTTAAAGAGAAAGCTTCTTCATGCCTCTCCCTACCCAGCTAATGAAGCTCCATGGCTGGCTTTCACAAATCCAAGTTTGGATCAGAGAGACAGCTTAGTCTTCTTTGATGTCAGGCAGGGTCATTAATAATTGGGGAAACATGTGAAGATGACTATAAACTCTGTGTTTTTGTTTTCCTGAATCATGTGGCCTCTCTTACACAAGGCCACACGACTACCCAGAATCACTTGGTGATGTAGGAGGGTGGAGGGGAGAACGGAAAAACAAGACAAAGGACAAAGGCTTGGGGGCCAAGAGACCTCAGTTCTAGTCCCGATTCTGCCACTAAGTTCCTGTGTGACCTTGGGCAAGTCACTTCTTTGAGCCTCTGTTTCCCCATCTCGTAAAATGATGAAGCTGGATTTATATGCTCTCTAAAGGCTCTTCTGGAGGCCATCTCCAGTCGTCCTGATTTATATCTGGCCACTGGCTCCGGAGGAGAAAGTGAGGCTGGTGACTTTGCACAGCCCTCCCTCACTTAAATCCAACTTACTTGCTAGTCGTGGCATCATCTTCCTGATGTCATGGTCCTCTTTGAGAATAAAGGACAAACAACAACAACATGATATTTCTAGTCTGCTTCTACCTGACAGTGAGAAAGTTGGTGGCTGGAAAGGGGCGGGAACATAAAATCAGGCTCCTGCTATTAAGAAGCTCATTAATGAAATGTGGACTTTGAATCACTTGGCAAAATGTCAAATATTTCAGCACCACAGACAATAATGACTTAGACCTAGTAATCCAGAATTTCTTATCACTGGAATGGGAGCTGGCCTAAGAGTCAGTTTACCTATATAAATATTTCAGGTCCAAGAAGAGTTCATCTAAGTCCAAGAAGAAATCTTCTCATCCAACCCCCTCATTTTATAGATGGGGAAGATGAAGACAAGAAAGGAAAAGTGATTCACCCCCAAAGATCACTTGGACGAAAAGGTTTATCCAACACAATGAGTTTGTAGCAGAGATGGGACCAGAACAAGGCCTGGCGGTCTCCTGGCCTTCAACCCTGTTCTCTTTTCACTCTGGCGCACAGCTCTCACCACACAATTCTCAAGAAGGGAATTATCAAGGAAATATTTAAGCAAAATCTCAGGGACAATGTCAAGTTTGCCTAAGAGAACAAATTTCCTTAAGTACTTTACAGCATCCATTTGCATATTGTGCAAGGAATGTGACAATCACAGATGATTCATAGCTCTTCATTAAAGCAGGTCCAAAAGAAACTCTACATAAGCAACATTTTGCTTATTCACATCCCAGCAATGTCTCATGAAATTTCCTAATCCCATGATGCTCTGGCTAGTCACCTGGCATCGTGGGGAATGTTCCCACTTGTAACTGGGTAGTTAAAAAAAATGCATTAGATTTGAGATGAGAAGACATGCTTTCTTCAAATCCCTTGAGCAAACCAGTTCACCTCAGTTTTTTTCTCTAGAAAATGAGGGGATTGGACTGACCTCCAAGGTCCCTTCTAGCTCTGGCATTCTGTGATTCTGTGCTCCTGTCTCTGATGAGGATGCTGGGGCAATGTTTTCTCCAGCAAAGCCTCAGTTCCTCTTTGGAAACGTTTCCTCGAGAGCACAGAAGCCACATTGACAGAACTCTGGGGCAATTCTAAAGGAGGCTTCTGAAGGAAGCTGAATGGAAGGGTCAACTGCTGCCTCCTCCTCCATGAAATATTCTCTGCCATGCCCTCTCCCTCAGCCAGAAGAGCTGTTTTCCTCCTCTGAACGCCTACAGCTCTTTGTTCTTACTCCTCTTCTGACCCATTTTATTTTACAGTATAGTTATTTTTGAGCGAATCTTACCTCCCTTACTAGACTATGAGTGAATACTCCTCTGGGGGGCAGGGATAGTGACTTATGTATCTCCCTCAGCATTCAGCAAAAGTAACTACACAGAAGAGTACTCTAAGTCTTTTTAGTGGATTGAACTCACCCCGTTTTATAGATGAGGAAACTGAGGCTTGCCCAGGTCACCTGGATAGTTAGTGACTTACTAGGCCTAGAACCGAGATCAGTATAAACAATCAGATCTAGAACTGGAAAGAAACTTGGAGGCCACTGAATCCAATCCCCTCATTTTATAGTTGAGGAAATTACAGCCCAAAGAGGTTAAAATGATCTGCCCAAGGTCACATGGGTATTAAGCATCAGTGGCAGGATTTGAACCTAGGCCCTCTGACTCCAGGTCTGCTCTCCCATGCTATCTGATTCCTAATTAGTTCAAGGCTCTTTCCATTGTACCACACTTCCTCCCTACTCTAAAGTAAGTCTTATCCCATGGGATGTCATTCCAAGTACATGTCACCCAGAATTACGCTCAGCTCCTAATGCAACATGATACTTCCTAGGCTAGAATGCACCCAATCAGAGATGGCCATCACCATAATAGGACCACTCTTCTGGATTCATTCATTGCAATGGCCCTGAGACCGTGGTTCAGGTCTTAGCCAAAATGACCCCAAACAACCTCATATTGTGCTTTGAGATCAGAAGAGGTGGCTCAGTGGATAGGGTACTGGGCTTGGAATCAGGAAGACATCTTCCTGAGTTCAAATCTGGCCTCAGACACTTACTAGCTCTGTGACTCTGAGCAAGTCACTTAACTCTGTTTGCCTCAGGTTTCTATCTATAAAATGAGCTGGAGAAGGAAAAGCCAAACCACTCTAGGATCTTTGCCAAGAAAACCCCAAATGGGGTCACAAAGAGTCAGACACAACTGAAAATGACTGAATAACAACAACAAAACCCAACCATATTCTAGCATCCTACAGTTCATAAAAACACACATCTCCTCAACATGCCAAGAACAACCCAAACTAAATAAAAATGTAACTGGGAAATATTTAACAAAAAACAATACAATATAAAATAGATAATACTAACATGCGGTTTTCTGAGTCAATATGTGCCCATACCCTTCTGTACACTTTGGTGGCCCCCCATTTCGATTCGAGCTTCATATAACTGCCTTAGAGGGAGAGTTGGTTCGTTAGTGAGTTGGGGGCAGGGGGCATGAAGATGAAGGAGATGGATGTAACCATTCTACTGATCCCTATCATTCCTCCAAGGCGCAAAGGGTGCTGAGAAGAGGGGCTGGCAGGAAAAAGGACCCTGGATGGGTTTGACTGAGGCTCTTGGTGAGGTCCATTAGAGGTACTCCCTCTAGTTCATGATGGAACCTGCTCCAAGAGGGAGAAGCTGCAGCTGACACAACAGCACACACACACACACACACTCATGTATGCATGTACGCACACATGCATATACATACACATGCACACATGCAGCAAGGGGCTCCCAATGAGCACACAGAGACACATAACACATACCTTAACATGTAGATAATACTTGTAAACAGACACTCCACCTGCAAAACATCTTGACACCCACATATACACTCAACATACAAACAACCCTGAACTCATATCATACCCCAAATACACAATTCCCAACACCCCTTGACATATACCACACCTAACTCAGACAACGCACAGAATACATACCCTAACATATGCAATGCTACCCAACAGATGTATAAACACAAAGAAATACATACTCCTTAGCCCCACAATGAAGATTTCAATGTTCACCTAAGTACAAACAAAGACATCTATACCTCTCAGTGATGAAATCCTTTTACTGGCCCTACTGTCCCAAGGCAGGAAACTTAGAAGGAGAGACAGAGAAAGCCTTGTGACTTATATTGGTACTTTTCTCCCCTTTCTTCCCCCCCTCCCCATCTCCCTCCTTCTATTCCCCCCAGTCCAGCTACTGGTCTAGCTCATAACCCAGCTAACGCTTCAGGCACTGTTATCCCCACCTCTCATTTCTCAATTGGCCCCAAGGACTTGGTTTCTACCCTCTGAAGTACTTATGAATCTTAGTGAACATGCCCTTCCACCTTCCCAGCTTCAGGCTGAAGGAAGAGGCCCTAATGGTCTCCAGTGAAGGAGGGAGGGACTGAGGTCAGAAGTAGCCAATCCATTAAAGCTCCATTTGGTACAAGTACAACCTGCCCAGCCCGGTTAATGTCCAGCTGATCAACAAATGCCCAATGCAAGAGGAGATGCAGTAACCCTTTATTATCCTCCTCAAAGAGGAACAGAAAAATAAACCTTCCCCAAACCTCTGGGAGAGGGAAGCTGGGTTAAGGGCAGGGACGCAGAAGGAGAAAAAGACTCATTTTCTAGAAGGCTAGACCTATCAGTAAACATTCATTAGTGACCTTCCCCATCCCCACCTCTACTCTCTCCCCCCAAATACACACAGAGAAGAGGAAAGAGGAGCTTTTGGGGTCTGGCTGCTAGCATGCCTGGAAAAGAGGACAGAAAAAGGAGAAGAAGAGAGGAAAGAAGAAGAGAAGAGAGGACTAGGTTTAGGTTTAGGTTTGGGGTTTTCTGTTGGATAGTTCTTCCTGGACATGCTGAAGGGCTGGGTATGTGCCATGAGGTAGGTGACCCCTGGATATAGCATCTATCCAAATAAAATTGAATTTTGCACTAAGGCAAACAGATGAGCAACCTCAAGAAAAACGTAATTCCAAATGCTTTGGAGTGCAAGTCACTCTGCATGCCTCCCACCCCCCAGTGATCTGGAAAGAGTCTCCAGAGTACATGCAACAGGCAAAAAGAAGAGAAGGAAAAGACAAACAGTCCAGAGGTCCCACTGCTTACCTGATTTCCTCTTTGAACTTCCATAGTCCCTGAAAAAGAAGCAACAGCAGATAGACATGGTTAGCTTCAGTGTGACTGACTACTCTTCCAAGCCCTGGAGAGGAGCCCCAGGCTCCCACCCAGAGGCCCCAATCTCTCCCACTGACTGCTGCCTCCAGGCAGAGGGATTGAGGAATCCCCTGCGCAAGGGCTGGCCAGCCCCACTCAGGCTCAGGCTCAGGCTCAGCTCTGAGAGCAGCTGGTGCTGCAGTCAGACTCTGGCAAAGCCATGTGATCCCCAAGGCAAGGAGAACCTTCCGCAGAGCTGCGGTGCAGGCAAGCATAGCTCTGGGCTCCTCCCGGGGCTTCCCCATCATGCCCAGTTTCCCTCCCTCTGCCATCCTTTCCCCTTCATCACCTTGGACGGTCATAGAATTAACCCCTTGGGAGCCCAGACACCAGAGCTGGAGCAAGTGAATTCCTCTTCCCTGAATGCATAGATATCAGAGTACAGGGAAAGGAGAAGGATGTAATCTGCCACATCCCCACCCCTTATTTATCTGGTTCTTAGCCCCTAGACTGCCCTCAATGCCCATCTCTGTCTGTTAACATCTTAACTACCCTTCAATGCCCAGCTCAGATGGCACCTTTCCAAGAAGTCTTCTCTGTGCTCTCGGGCCAAGAAATAATTGTTCCTTTAATTGATTTTATAGCACTTCATATTCTTATGTATCTATATTATAATTTGCACTATAATTTATGTGTAGCCTTATCATGACAACTACATTGTAAACTGCCTGAGGGTAAGGGCACTACAGTTTTAGAATCTTCCTCAATGCCTAATGCAATTCAAGTCAATGAAGTAAAACTTAAGTATTTGTTGAATAAACCAGTGAATTTCTAGACAATAAAATGTAAATTCCTGGGGGGCAGAGACTGTTTTTCTTTCATTTTTGTACCTCCAGCACCTAGTCCAGTGCCAAAGGGGGCCAAGACACAAAACAAGTTAAGAAGCCCCACCTCAGACTACTGCAATGGTCTCCCTGCCTCAAGTCTATCCCCACTGCAGGCTATCTATCATCCACATGGCCAACCCACTGTCAGACTCCTACTCAATAATCTCTAGTGGCTGCTTCTATTGCCTTTATGGTAAAATAGAAACTGCTCTGGCTTTTAAAGCTTTTCACAATCTCAATATACATTACCTCCCACTGCCCCCATTCCCCTCTTGCCCCCCAAACTGCCATCTCTCACTCTATGATCTAGCCACAGTGGCCTTCCCTCTGGTCCTCACACATGACATGCCATCTCTTGTCTCGGCACTCTCACACTGTCTATCCCTTATGCTGGGAATCCCTTCTCACATCTGCTTTATAAAAATCCCTCTCTTCCTTAAGATGCAGCTCAATCATGACCTTCTACAACAGGGGTTCTTAACTAAGGGGTCCATGGATAGAATTAGGAGGTCTGTAAACTTTGCTGGGAAACAATTTACATCTTTATTATTTTCATTAACCTTAGGTTTCCTTTTGTAACCCTACATATTTTACTTCGTGCATTTAAAAAATATTATTCTAAGAAAAAGCACATTGGCTTCACCAGCTTGCCAAAAGGGTCCATGACCTCTAAAAAGGTTAAATAAAACATATGATCTACAGGAAGCCTTTCCTGATCCCCACAGCTGCTAGTTCCCTACTCCAACCCCAGCTACGTTGTATTTACTCTTTGTTGTTGTTTTTGAGTTGGTTCAGTTGAGTCCAACTCTTCATGGCACCAATTTTGGGGGTTTTCTTGGCAAAGATACTGGAGTGGTTTGCTATTTCCTTCTCCAACTTATTCTTTAAATATGTATATGTGTGTGTGTGTATGCATCTACATCTATATCTATCTATAACAGAATGTCAGCTCCTTCAGAGTAGGGATTATTTCATTCTTTATATTTGTAATACTAGAGCCCAGCAGAGCGCCTAATACATAACAGTCACTTCATCAAAGCTTTCTGAATGACTGATTGATTGGTGTCTCCCTTTGCCTCTGGTTTGCAGAAATGTCTTCATCTGACTCTAAATGTTTAATTCCCAGAATCTTAGACACTTAAGAGTTTAAAGGAGAGTCATATACGCCGTCTACTTCAACCGGCTAATCAGTGCAAGAATCTCTTCTAGACAGACCATATTTGATAGGGGCTTGCAGCCCCTGCTTTAACACCTCTCATGATGGGAAGCTCACTATCTCCCAAGGCAGCCCATTATGGTTTTAGAACTAAGTCTCCGTTCTTCTATTAAGTGGCCCCCTGAACCTAAGAAGAACAGGGTTGATTCTTCTTCACTTAACACTATGGACCAACGAGGAAAAAGAAGTACTGAGAAAAAAGCCCTGAATTTCCTCGGTTCCAGGCCAGCAATCTCTACTATCCTGAAACTAATTGCTTAGAAGAAAGAAAAAGATGGTGTGACTCTGCTCTATCTACCTAGGAGAGGAAGCCCCTCAGATATCCCCTCTCCCCTGAGCTTCTAGAGGATATTCCCTTAGGACTCTGACACCATTGTTGTAACTGGCCCCGTGGTGCTGGATGGAAGGGTAGCCCTTGAGGTGAGATGTACTGAGCAAGGCTCCAATCCGCCAAATATTTTTTCACCCTCATCAGCTACAGTATTTAAAATGCTACCATCAAAGACACATTCCTCAAAGACTCAAAAGTTTTGTAGTAACCACAAATTCTATTAAAAAAGAAATACTACTAGAAAATGTCTCACAGTAACTTTTACTAAGACACTTATACCTTAGTATAAATTAGTTTCTCAGATAATTTCCTTATGAATTTGGAAGGGCCTACAACAGAAGGAAAAATAGCAATACTCCCTAGCATTTTGACACTGCTGTTATATTCCTTCACGCATTTGAACCCTACAACAACCTTATAAGGTGGTGTGCATGTGCATTTTTATTATCATTCTACAGGTAAGGAATCTGAGGTCCAGAGAGATTAGAATTGTTCAAAGCTACATGGCTAGTAAGCTAGGACTTCAACTGAGTCTTCTGTCCACTATTCTTTCTGCTATCCCATGCTCTCCCTGGGCAATGGACCCCTGAGAGACAGAGAGAAGTTGCTAGAATATAGCGAGGTGTGGAAGAGAAATGTCACAATTTTGATTCTGACTAGTCTGGCCAAGAAGATGTTTTATTATCGCCAATACCAGCTGGGGACAATATGCAGGTAGAGGAACATACCCAAGCCTATTCACTTGTAGCATATGTAACTCTACTGCACCCTCCCCTTCTCCTAATCCTGGAGCATGGCCTAATGGAGGCACTGAAGAACAAGAGACTAGGGAAGCCTGGGGTCCTCTTATTATTAGGGAGTTGGTATCAACTTGCCCCTTGGGTTGAAGTTCACAGAGCTAGAACTAAACCTAAGCTTTCTGACTAAAAATTCAGTGTTTTTGCTTCACCAGGTATGGCACAGAGAGCCTGCTGGTGCAACACATGGGAGTGACAGTCAGCAAGTAACTAAGCCAGACTAAGGGTTTGGGAATCATGTTAAGAAAAAACATACCCTCTACTTAAGCTAATTTACTTATTCAGTGCCATACCAATCAAACTACCAAAAATTATTTTATAGAGCTAGAAAAAATAATAACAAGATTCATTTGGAAGGACAAAAGGCCCAGAATATCAAGGGAACTAATGAAAAGATGCTAGGGGAAGTAGCCTAGAAACTACAGGTCTTAAATTGTATTATAAAGCAGCAATCATCAAAACTACTTGGTGATGGCTAAGAAATAGAGTGGTGGATCAGTGGAATAGGTTAGGTACGCAAAACAAAATAGTCAATGACTATAGTAATCTACTGTTTGATAAACCCAAAGACCCCAGCTTCTGGGATAAGAACTCAGTATTTGACAAAAATTGCTGGGAAAACTAAAAAAGAGTATGGCAGAAACTAGGCACAGACCAAGATCTTACACCATATACCAAAATAAAATCAAAATGCATATATGATTTAGATATAAAGGCTGATTCTATAAGCAAACTGGGAGAGCAAGGAATAGTTTACCTGTCAGATTTATGGAGAACAGAATAGATTTATGACCAAACAAGAGACAGAGAACATTCATGAAATGCAAAGTGGATAATTTTGACTACATTAAGTTGAAAAGTTTTTGCACAAAGCCAATGCAACCAAGATTAGGAGGGAAGCAGAAAACTGGGAAAGGATTTTTATAACCAGTGTCTCCAAAAAGGGCCTAATTTCTAAAATATATAGAGAACTTAGTCAAATTAATAAGAATACAAGTCATTCCCTAATCGATAAATGGCCAAAGGATATGAACAGGCAGTTTTCAGATGAAGAAATTAAAGCCATCTACAGTTATATGAAAAAATGCTCTAAATCACTATTTGTTTGTTTGGCTTTTTTTTTTTTGGGTTAGGCAATGGGGTTAAGTAACTTGTCTAGGGTCACATAGCTAGTAAGTGTTATGTGTCTGAGGCCGGATTTGAACTCAGGTCCTCCTGAATCCAGGGCCGGTGCTCTATCTACTGCACCACCTAGCTGCCCCTCTAAATCACTACTGATTAGAGAAATGCAAATCAAAACAACTATGAGGTACCACATCACACCTATCATATTGGCTAACATGATAAAACAGAAAATGGTAAATGTTGGAGAAGATGTGGGAAAATTGGAACACTAATGCATTGTTGATGGAGTTGTGAACTGATCCAACCATTCCGAAGAGCAGTTTGGAACTATGCCCAAAGGGCTATAAAAATGTGCATACCATTTGACCCAGCAACAGCACTTCTAGGGCTGTATGCCAAAGAGATCATAAAAATGGGAAAAGGATCCACACGTACAAAAATATTTATAGCAGCTCTTTCTGGTGGCAAAGAATTGGAAAATGAGGGGATGCCCATCAATTGGGGAATGACTGAACAAGTTGTAGTATATGAATATAATGGAATACTATTGTGCTATAAGAAATGATGAGTAAGCGGAGTTCAGAAAAACCTGAAAAGACTGGTATGGACTGATGCTGATTGAAGT